TAGAAGAGATTTTATCCAGCTTAATTTTCTGTAGATTGTATTATGAAAACAGCTTTTTATGTCTTTCAAATATACAATTAAAATACAATAGGTGCATTTTTTCCCCTTTCAAAATTGGTCCTCGTGCCTTGTCCCCTGGAAAGTGTGTTTTCCTAGTCACAAAACACAGGTACTGTAGTAAACATAAGAATAAAAACAACAAACATTGATATGTTAATAAAACAGTAATAACAGTTAATAAAACACCTTTTTCATGTATTACTTCTTGTCATACTAGCTTCATTTAGAGAATGCTGAGTATGTGTTAAGCATAGTAATAGATATTTGGTGTATTACATATATAATCTCATTTAATTTTCACAGATACTCATTTTGAAGATAAGGAATATAAGACTTGGAAAATTTAAGTTATTTCCCCAAATCATGAGGCAAGTTAGTATCAGGATGAGGAATGGAGCTCCTAAAACTTATACCCCTGAGAAAGACAAAACGTATTAGATTATTATAACAATCTTGCTAGTAAGTGAAGGAGCTTCATTAAAAAAGAAAAAATTCATAAAATGACTTTCAGTAGTTGACTACTTTGTACAACAACTTATAAAAGATACTGTTGATCAGGTTAGGCATTCTTTAGAAATTATACAAAGAAAAGATGGGAAGGGAGTGTTAACAAAAGACGGGCGGGTGTCAGGGATAAACTGAATTGATTTTAGACTTTGTCTATGGTTAGCACAATCTTCAAAGAAGATGATTCAATAAAGAACATAGGGAAATATGTTTTAATAAGCAAAATGTGTTTTATTTGTAATGTATCACAGTAAATGGGTCAATGTCATATATATATATATATTCCAAATCAATAAGAATAGTAAATCAATAGAATAACAGAAAAGTACAAGGACAGCCAATACACAAAGGAACATGTATGGCCAGAAAGCCCACGGAAAAAATAATCAATCTTTCTCATTAGGAATTTCAAAATTAAACAATAGAATGTGGTATCTATTTTGATCCCCAAATTGCCAACTATTAAAAGGAATAATGAAAATAATAAGAAAAAAATAAACGATATGAAAATTGCCAATGTGACTGAGGAGGAGGGAATGAGGCATGCATGCATTTCTGGTAAATAAGCGAATTAAGTTACATTTATACAATGAACTATCATTGACCTAGATCTAGATATTTATTTAAGTGGAAACATCCCAGATGAAAAATTATGACACAAATTACAGAATATGTAGAAAGCATCATTTTGTTTTGGTAAATAAGTGATTATAAATTAGTTTATATATAATTATATAAATTATAATTGCACATATATAGTTATACATACATAATTGCATATATGTAAATCCGTAAGAAACTATACCAAATTGGCAATATCTAAAGATATTCATGCTGAGATTTGGGTTACTTTCCCCCTTTTTTTCTTTCTGTTTATCAATAGTTTCTAATTTTCTATAGTAAAACCTAGATTACTTATGTAAATAAACGAAAGCAAGATTTAAGATAAAAGAAGTGGTATGTTGGTTAAGAAGATGAGCTCTGGTGTCAGACAAGCCCAGGTGACAGGTAACCTTAGATAAATTCCTTGAACTTCTTAGCTTCCTCCTTTAGTAACATGATGATACTATTGCCTGCCTCAGTGTGTTTTGTGAAGATTAAATTAGATAACTACGTAACCTACTGTGTGTACCTATCAATCAATCAAGTAGTTACAAAGTTCCTACTCCTGTATTACTGGGCAGTACAAGTTACTTGGGGAAAGCAAAGAAGTCTGAGATTGTCCCTCCTCTGCAAGCAGTTAAATAGACAACGTCACTAGCTGCCCAAATAGACAGATGTCACTAACTCAGATGAGAACACGGCGACCAAGGAGTGCATAGTTCTGTGACATGCTAGAGAATCCCCCAAAGCACGCATCTTTTAAAGGTTTGTAAAGGTTTATTTAACTAAATTTGCTCCTTTTAAAAAAAGGTAATTTAAATTGGTGAATTTCATGTTATGGAAATTATATCTCAATTAAGATGTTAAAATGGTAATTATTTTAGTATGTGATGTTTACCCCAAAGAAATGGTCTTAAGAGTATTTTAACACAAAATGCACTGATACAATACAATACCTAATGTTACATAGGAAAATTTCTAAACTAGCTGATTTGAATCATATGAAGTTGAATCTGGTTCATAAAGTTATTGAATTGCTTGGAGACTCATTTTTAGTGTGTGATTAATAAAATGATGCCCACATAGGATTTGCAAGTATTAAATACTATGACTAAAATAATGAGTTCCTTAATTTTTTCTGTAAACCGATTAGGGAAAAAGTGCTTTATTTGTTTGGGGAAAAAAAAAGAGAGCGAGAGAAAGAGAGAGAACAGCAGTTTTTCTTAATATAACCTTAATGATTTTCCAGGGCCAATTAAAATTCCTCTTTCTCTGGAAAATTGCTTCCTTGGCCACTCTTGTCCTTATTGATGGTAACAACCCTAGCGTCCATTGGCTGAACACTTACTATGTTCCTGGGAATATGTTAAGTGCCTCACAGACCTGATCAAATTTAATTTTGACAACAACCCATGAGGTGGGTGTTGTTAGCTCCCTTTAAGGAGACTGAGACAGGTAATTTAAGCAATGTGCCAGGTCCAATGGCTACTGAGTTATCAGATTAGGATTCGAAGCTAGAACTGTTGGGTTATGAAGCTTGTTAGCATTATACCATGCAAATCCTTCCTGGTTTCTTTTCCATCTGCGAGTGCTGCAAATGAGCAAACAATGATAGATTGGAATAATTAGTCTTTCCTCAGAGTGTTCCCAAACAAAAGGTGATAAGCTAACACTATATTCTGGCAGAAGATCCAAACTCATTTTCTTTAATAACAGTAATAATATTCTAAGGCATAATTGTAGCAGTTTATATAATGAAAGGAATTACTACCCTGAGATGTGCTTAATTCTAAGACCAATATTGAGAAAAGAATTGAACATTGAATCGTTTAAAGCATTGTACACGTAGTTATCTGGAAATGTTCTTTATTCATTGCGATCACAGCTTTTATTGAGCCTAGATTCTTAAATTGTATATATCATTCATTCACTTATTCGATAGTTATCTATTGGAGAAAGGTGAGGGCTGGTGTTTAAGTGGGAAGTCAAGAAAAGCTTCTCTGAGGTGTTAGCATGTAAGTGGAGATTTGTGTGAAGCGAGAGACTTAGAGCGTGAACCATGTGGATACCTGAGGAAAGAGCTTCTGAGGTGAAGGAAGACCACGTGCAAAGGCCCTTAGCTTGGTGTGGTTCTAGCCGAACAAAAAGGCCAGTGAGGCTGGAACAAGGAGAAAAAGGGGGGGGGGGTTAAGGGGGCTGGTCACAGATGAGGACAGAGAGGAATTCTGGCCTAGTGTCAGTGATAGACTATGGCTTTTTCTCTGAAGAAGGGAGAACAGTTAGGAGGCTATTGTAGTTATCCAGGTGAGAAATGATTGGATGGTAACAGTGGAGGGGATGGGAAATGGTTGGATATTGCATATATTTTGAAAGTACAGTTGACCCTTGAACAAGGCAGGTGGTTAGGGGTGCCAACGCTCCCAATCAAAAATTCACGTCTGACTTTTTACCTCCCCCCACACTCAGTCGTCATCCCTCAGTCTCCGCGATGGGGGTTGGTTCCAGGATCCCCGCGGATACTAAAATCCACGGATTTGAAACCCAGGGATGCTGAGTTCTTACTGTATTTTTATTGTCTTACAATCCGTGTGTAACTGGACCCATGAAGTTCAAACCCCTGTTGTTCAAGGATCAACTGTAGAATCGAGGGGATTCCCAGACGGACGGGAATGTCGCGTGGGAGCGATTTGGTGTGAGCTGTGAGAAATCTTGGTGTTCAAGTGCGAGTGAATTAACTTTGGAGGAAAACGCCTTCACAATCTTCCTCAGGCCTGGCTCTTGTGAGTACAGACCATTTGACCTTGGAGGTTAAGTAAACGTCTAAAAGTCTAATACTAAGAATAGGGAGAAATGAGGAAATGAGTGGGGACCCTTGTGCCTGGGAGAGGCTGCCAAACTAAATAGTGGCTGTGGGCAAAGAACAGGTGCCCTTTCTGATGAACTATGTCCAGTGTGTCAAGGAGAGGATCTGAACCCAAAGGTGTAAGAACAGAGTTTGATCAAGACTTGAGTTCCAGGGAGCATTGTAGGACCCAGCCTTAGGTTGTCCCTAAGTTTTTCAATTTCTTTCCTATTTTTCCCTTCATTCTCCGCCCGCTTCTTGCTTGCAGGACGGTACGGTTTACCATTGACTCTCAAACTTCAGCAGGCATCTGAATTACTGGGAGTGCCTGCGAAAACACAGATTGCTGGGGCCCCTTGCCAGGGTTTCTCTCTCTCTCTCTCTCTCTCTCTCTCTCTCTCTCTCTCTCTCTCTCTCTCTCTCTGTGTGTGTGTGTGTGTGTGTGTGTGTGTGTGTGTGTNCTCTCTCTCTCTCTCTCTCTCTCTCTCTCTCTCTCTCTGTGTGTGTGTGTGTGTGTGTGTGTGTGTGTGTGTGTGTGTGTGTGTGTGTGTGTGTGGAGAGGGACGGACAGGGAGGGAGCTGAAAATTTGCATTTCTAACAAGTTGTTAGGAGATGCTTGAGAACAACTCTTGCTTCTCGTCCCGGAGGTTCATGCAAAGCAACGAGATCTAGAACTCTGTAGGGTGTGAGTGGGGAAGGTTCCAGCTCCCAGATGTTCCCAGTCACCAGTGAAATGATCCACTTACCCCAAAGTGTTTCTTAGCTGCCCTGAACGGGTGAGAAGACGAAGCAGAAGCAGGCGGAGGGATGGAGCGAGAATTCCTTCCAGACGAGACATCCCCTCGGAGCTCAGCGGAGAAACGAGGGCGGGAGGAAGGCCCTGGGCCAACCCACAGCTCCTTAGAGGGCGCGGACCTGGAGGGAGGCGCCCCAGAAGGCGGCGCCTCTCGGAGGAAGTTGGTCCTTTAACTGCAGAGCACCGTAGCCCGTCGCATCAGCTTCCAGGAGCGAGCAGCTGGCGCCCACGGGAGCCGTCAGTGCCGCCCGGGGTGCGGGCCGGGCCGTCGCCACCTCTCAGCACCCGCGCGCGCGCCGCCATGGGCGCCTCCGCCTCCAGCCAGCTGGACGAGGGCAAATGCACCTACATCCGAGGTACGCCTGCCCGCGGGACCCTCGGGCCATGCCCGCCTAGAGGGGGCGTCCCGAGCGGGTCCCCACAGTGCGCTCCAGTTTCCATGCCCCGCTCTCTACCTGCTGGCACGGGGGTCCCCAGGTCCCACCCAGCGCGGGTGTAGCTGGCCGGCGCGCCTTGGCTGGCGTGGGGCTGGGGATGCTTTGGAATGCGCCGCCGGATGGCTGGGAGAGTCAGGTGCAGGCTGCGGGGTGGGGCACCACCTCCTTTCCTCCTCTGCGCCCGCCTAGGGGTCTCCTCCTCCCCGCGCCCCCAACACCTCGCCCTCCTGTACCTGGCGCTGGACTTCTTTCTAAACTTGCCACAGAGAACCAAGGGAATATCCCTCGTTTCTCCAGATTTCCCTGGGGATTCCCGGCCTATCAAGCAGAATTTCCCTCCTGGTCATACTGGCCTTTTGTAAAACGCAGCGTGGGCCACAGCTTCAGTTGAACTTCAGCCTGTTACTTAGGGGATGATTTCATCAGAGTCAGAAAGGACTATTTCATTATGCTCCCAGGTTCTCTCCCCGGGGAAGGGAGAAAGCAAAAGAGGAAGGCTAGCATATGTTGCAACTGCTGCTGAATTTGTAGATGGGGAGACTCATTTGGGGAGACTTTCAGAAATAAGGTGACTCAGAAAAGAGGGCAATGCAGAAGAAAAGAAACCAAGCTGAACTGAAACTGCAGGAAATCATGCCTCTTATCTCCAGGGTATACTTGGCCTCCTGTCTTCCCTCCCCCTGCAACCTTGCCCACAACCACTACCTAACATTTGGTTTTCTTGTGAGTTTAGTGTTTTTCTGGCTTTAGAAATACCTTCTACACTGGGCATGAAACTCTGACGTTTTACCTTAATTCTGTAAAGAAACAGTTAACTTCTTCCTGAGACCTTTCTCAGGCCCCTGAACCTTTTCCTAAAAAAAGAAAGCATTTATTTAGTGTCTTTATTCAATATTTGTTTTCAGTCACCACAGCATTTAAACCCATTTGAAAAGGATATCAAGTCAGGGCACTTGAGCACAGGATAATTGGTTTTCCAGATTCCTGCTCTGGGGTTTTTGCAGCTAAAAGGTCATCAATAGCCCACACTGTCAAGGGATAAAAATCGGTCAGGTATCCCTTCACTGTTGTTTGTTTAAAATGGGAAAACTTTGGATGACTTCTTTCTATTAGTAAAAGAGCTAAACTCAGCCTGCCTTAGTCTTACGCATTTGGCTATATGCCTTGTTGTTTTTACCAGTGCGTAGGGGACTGAAAGGACAACACAGTAGAACATAGTGAGAAGGGGCTTGCATTGATTGAGTTATTAGCCAAACATGTTTATGGCATTTATTTTATAAGCCTTTATTTCACGGAAAAGCTTAGAAACACCTAAAGCTGAAGCATGGACATCTACAGTAATCACTGCAAGTCCAGCAATGTGAGGGATTAACTTCCCTGAAGAAAACGTCAGGGCCATGATAGTTGTTGCTACTGTGCTGATCAAGCATTGTACTCATGTGAAAGAAAATGTGTTACCTTTATATTTATTTATTTATTTTTTAATTGGGGATCTGGGGGAAGGGAACAGTGTTGGGGAATTGGGGAAGGGGACCAGCCAAGTTGTTATTCAGTCTTAGTCGTGGAGGGCGCCAGTCGCCACCTGGCTGCCCACCGGCAGCTCGTGGCCTCTGAGCTCAAGGTGCTGTGTTCAATCTTAGTTGCGGGTGGGCATAGCCCACCATTGAACAGGCAGTCTTGTTAGGAGCACATGCTGTCACCAGCTGATCTAGCCTGCCACCTGTTGGTAGCTCAGCGGCAGCTCAGCTCCGGCCGGGAATCGAACCGGCGACCCTGTTGCTCAGAGCTCACACTCTTGAACAAGCTCTTAACCAACTGAGCCACTTGGCCGGCCCATGTTTTACCTTTTTAATTCAGATATTAAATTATTAGATATACACAAGCATGGCATAGCTAGTGCACAGGAAGAACTTGTAATGAATGCATTCCGAATGAATAAGCCTATAGCAGATTGTGTGACCGTCACTACATCCTCTAGTCTTGTTCAATTTCATCTCCTCGTTCTTTGTTCGGGAGGGCCCTTTCAAGGTATGTAGGGACAAAGGGAAGAGAAGCGTTAAAGTTAGAATACCTCCAGGGAAAATGAGATGTTGCCTCATTTGAAAATACGAGTCTTGGCAAAGGAGAAAAGGGCATTGGAAAAATGCATGGTGTCATGAATTGTTAGTGCATGGGCAAGTGAAGGTCATGGGGCTGTGATTTCCAGAAAAAAACCATAATCCTATCTTCACCGATTTGCCCATCCTTTAGCTCATAAATATTCTCAAGCTTTGATTTAATTATAAGCAGAATGATTCCAAGTATGACTGTAAAGTTTAAATACAATTTTATGATCCGTTTCTCATAAAATAGCTGCCAGTGAAATATAGATTTGTAAGCTCTTGTAGCTGAGACAATAACTTTCTTTCAAACATGATCAACTTTGCTAATGCATGGAGAATAATGGGTATATTTGGAGTGTGTTTTCTTAATCTCATGTGTTAGAAGCAGCCATCTGAGTCAGCATTTGCTTTTAGACAAATCATTTAACAGCTGCCATTTGGTTTGTGTGCCTCAAAACTTTGTGTTAATGCTGATCTTTGTCACATGAATGTTTTGAGTACAGTATTTCATAGGCTTTAGGAAATCTCTAGGTACAAAGTTATCATAAGTGTTAAGGAGTTACTTTATTTCTAAAGATGTTAGTTTTGAAAATTACTACCACATTCGTGTTTCTTACAACAGAATACATTTTTAGGATTGTTTCTGGAAGACTTTCAGTAACTCCCCTTGATAAGATGTTTCTATTAATAAATAATACTGAGACCAACTTGTAATCATATGGGCAGTGTCATCTGTTAGCCTTCAGTGATGATTTTAGCACTGACATAAAAAGCTCTTCCTGTAGTGAAAAAGAAAGCTCATGTAATCCAGGTATCAGTGGCCAATTTGGGGCACTTGTCTCTTTTTATGCCTGGAAAATTAGTGCGGCAGCTGAGAACTGGGGGATACACAGATCCTGGGGTGGGGGTTGATGCATGCTTCTAGGCCTTGTAGCAGCAAATAGCAGTTAGAAAAACTTCTTTTACAGGGCTCTGATGCTTTAAAGTAAGAAATGAGTTTCAGCTTAAAAACATGTATATCCCTCAGGGGAATTTTCTCATAGTCATACTGTAAGGGTTAACTTAGGTGGCTATATATAAAATTTATACTAATAATAGTGTCTAGAGCAGCGGTTCTCAACCTTCCTAATGCCACGACCCCTTAATCCAGTTCCTCATGTTGTGGTGACCCCCTACCATAAAATGATTTTCATTGCTACTCTATAACTGTAATTTTGCTACCGTTATGAATCATAATGTATCTTTTTGTTTTCCGATGGTCTTAGGAGACCCCTGTGAAAGGGTCGTTCGACCCCCAAAGGGGTCGCGACCCACAGGTTGAGAATTGCTGGTCTAGAGTGAAATCTCCATCGACAAGGTCAATGGAAGGTAGGAGAGCTGTGCATGTTTGCAAGCTACTCAGTCTAGATGTATAGTACTAGTCCACACTTTTTTTTTTTTAACTTTATTGGGTAACAGTGTGTTTTTTTCCAGGACCCATCAGCTTCAAGTCAAGTCCCTGTTCTTCAATCTAGTTGTGGAGGGCGCAGCTCAGCTCCAAGTTCAGTGGCCATTTTCAATCTAGTTGGGGGTGGGGGTGGGGCGCAGCCCACCATCCCATGTGGGAATTGATCGAGCAACCTTGTTGTTAAGAGTAAGTGCTCTAACCAACTGAGCCACCCGGCTGCCCACTAGCAGCTCAGCGGCAGCTCAGCTCAAGTCGTTGTCTTCAATCTGTTGGGTTGTCGGAAAAGTCATGATGCATTTTTGCAACGAAAAACAGAAAAAAATACAGCATGACTTTTCCAACAACCTAATAGTTGTGGAGGGCGCAGCTCATTGGCCCATGTGGGAATCAAACTGGCAACCCTGTTGCTCAGCGCTTGCACTTTAACCAACTGAGCCACCCGGCCACCCCAGTCCACACATGTGCTTATTCTAAAGTTCATGATTTGTTGGTAGGAGGTGGGCATATGAACTGGTCTGATTTATCTGGATCATTATGACCATATTATCTTAGAGTTCAATTTATCTGGCTAGTATTGGCAGTAGGGAGTGGGTTAAGATTATACCATTAGTATTTGTCTCAGTTCCTACTTTGTAGAAATGAAAGGATTCTCCCACAGCTCCCCAGGTGGGAATAGCAGGGATGGGAGAAAGAAGGAGAGGATCCAGTAGAAATAATGCATAAACCTATATTGATCACATTATATTTTGATTTTAAAGAAATGCCTCAAGTATATACCAAACTACCAGCGAAGCTACTAGGAGTTTTGAGTTAGGAAAACAATTGCCAAATAGGAATTTCTAGTGGTAATAATTACTTTCAACCACCTTCAGTTTTTATGAATGGAAACCAAGATGTTGGAAATTTAGTGTGAATTGAGAATTTTTTAGATCCATCAAAAATAAGACACTAAACTGAGACTTAGACAAATTAACATTTTCTCCTGTAGTTATGGAAGAAACAGTGACCTTCCTTCTTGGATTGCAGTTCTTGGTTTGATGAACTCACAGAATCAGATGCTAAGTCAAAATCTCCTTTTGATGAAACACTTTTTTTTTTCTATAGGCAATGACTGCAAGAGGATGACACCATCAAAGGTGCTTTCGTAACAGTAACTCTTAAAATAACAATAGTGATTTTAATGTTTTTTTTAATTTTTAATTTATTTTTGCTGTGGACTACTGAATTGATTGGTTTTACTCTGTTTTATTCTTTGGGAAAGTCTGAAGTGGGTCCCAAAGTAGAAATTACAACAGCAGGAGCTCATTGGTAACAGTAGTTTCTAATATAATTAAAATAAAGGTACTGTGAAAGTTTTCCAAAATATGCAG